GACGTAGTCAGTTATCTTGGACCACCAAGTGTCGCTGCCGGGCGCAGAATATACCCACCCCGGGGCTTTGAAGTCCTTTGGGGGAAATCTCCCGCCAACTCGGAAGAAGCGATGACGGAACGTCTCTGCGACCGCCGTCGTCTCTCCTGCCGGCGGCTCGTTGGACGGTAGGCCAGGGCGCAGACCCGTCACACGCTTACAAGAACTCTCCACTCCATACCCAGCCGTGGAGCCTGTAAAGACGCCACAAGTGACCCCGTCCTGAGTTGGGGTCAAATCCCAGTTCATCACTCGGGGAACCGCGAGAGACCGTAGCTCGATGATCGAGAACCCCCTCGGCATGCTGGGGAGGTAATAGTGAGTCCCTTCCACTGTGCGGAACCACCTGCTCTCCTTGAGTAGCAGAACAGAAGGATCAGTTATAGCATCGCCGAAGAAGAACTGAGGCTTCGACATCTCCGTCCTGGCATCATCTGTCAGCGTCGCATCGGTCATCAACTCACGTAAGGTCAAATGATGACCGTCCGTAACCTTCTTCACCAAGCTGTAGGGCTTATCAGCAGTGAATGAGGGCATCAGATCCAAAGAAGGAAATCGAGGAGGCGCCGTATAGCCTGTGCCTCCGGCGAGATCGATGGCCACGCCCTTCGGAAGGGCTTCGTCAGAAAAGGTCACTGCAAGAAAAAACCCAAGAGTCAGGATAGGATCCGCCCTAAGGATGAATCCGCCAATCCAGTAAAGATGGGCGAATTCGCCTGTCGGAAAGCAAAAACAATGCTCCTGTTTTACCAGAGAAGTGGTCGAACTCGCCTATCAAGAACGAATTCGCCTCCACCCAACAAAGTCAATTTCTCCTGTAGAGGCAGAAATCGTCCTCTATGAGCAAATACAAAATCCGCCCAAAAAGGAGCAGACTTTGCCCTAAATCGGGGAAGCTACCAAAGATGATTGAACCTAAGGGGGATAAACGAGGCTCATCCGCCCGACCCGACACCTATGACCCACGCGAAGTCGTTAGATGAACCCCGAACTTACACAAGAGTGTCTCAGGTATGCGGACGGGTGCACCGGCGGCGAGGTGGTCGGAATAGCGCCCGAGACCTCCTCCTTTCGCAATACACTTCTTGGATTTCGGTGCCATTGACGGGATTAAGCAGGAACTCTCTCTCTTTAGAAAACTTTCAATATTCTTGAACACGATAACTCTCAAAGAAAGGGAACGGCCTATTTAACGGAGGAGTTGCCAACGTGGCCACGATCGCCCTCAAAAATCGAAATACTGGCGGATGAGAAACGTGACCACGATCGAAATCAACGGTCCAGACTGCCCCCTGACATTTCGAAGTGCCACGTCGAGGCGGGAAACGGGTCAGCCAAAAAACCCCAAACCTGAACCAAAATGGACGGTAGTATCTGACGGTTGAGTTCGAAAATCACGGCCACGATTCAAACGGGGAGCACGAAGCTTGCGTCAGAACGCGATGTGACAGAACCACGCCGTCTTAGCTGGAAAGCATGAAGCCCACCAGCGGACGCGTGGCTCACCCACACCGAACCGAGTTTCGCCCGAAAAGAAAGGTCTCGCCTGTGAAAATTCGACCCAAATCCGCAAGTCGAACAGAATTTCGCCTCCAAAACCTAACTTCGCCTGAATGGCTTATTCGCTCCTGGAGATAAACGACGAGTAACACGACTTGTCCCAAACTTTAAAACGCCAAAAAGATTATCTCGCTTAAAACCACGCCTCGAACGGCTGAGGTTGAGAGTAGAAATCTTAGCACCAAGTCTAAGAGAAACTACTCGACAACTCATCATACTGAGGGGAATAGTATGGCTAGCCCGGTTCAAACGGTAACCGGTAAAGGCACATCAAACCCGTTGATGGCTGAGGGTTTGCTAAAAATCCTAAAAGAAACCAAGTGCGCTTACTTCGCCAAAAAGCTTCTTCATTCAAAGTATTCCAGACCACACGCAAGCCGGTTTAGGTCTGAAAACTTTGAAGGGGGTCTTGTAGACGGTAAAAAATACCTCTGTTAGCTTGCAAGAAAGTCACCTGAATGACCAACTCGCCTGCACGAACCAGAATCAACTGGGATAGCAAAATTTTGCCTTTGACACAACTCGCCTGCCCGAGTCCAAAGTCGAATCCGCCCGCAAACCCCAAGGCCGCCTACCCCACGTGCTGAGATGGGCCTTCCTATCCCTCTCTCTCAAGGGAGAGGGAACAATACCCCAAGACTGTCAAACGGCCGCTCGCAGTACGCATAGCGCAAAGGACTGGACAGGTGTCGAGTCAACCTGAGCATTCATAAATGCGACTCACCTTGGCTGTCTGAGTCAGGAGACGGATCCGCCAGTATTCGACGAGCTGTCCAAACCCACTCGAGTGCCAGGAACATACTTTCCCGCCTCTCTTGACCTGAAGAGAGAAGGCACGGCACTCCAGGCCCGCCGAATAGCCGCCCACAGTACGAGTGAGCAGACAGATATCAAAGCAGCCTGCACTCTCATAAATGTGACTCACCTCAGTTGTCCAAGCAAACGGCGAGAGCCGCCGATGCTCGGTGGTTGGTCAGATCCACGCAAGCATCCGACAGCCGTTGTCACGCATACGAGGAGGGGCTTTCCCACTCCTACGTGACGTGATGCAGAGCACAACTCTTCGAATAACCACTGGTGGTACGAATGAACAGCAGGATATCTCCGAACAATGTGTTGTCACGCATACGAGGAGGGGCTTTCCCACTCCTACGTGACGTGATGCAGAGCACAACTCTTCGAATAACCACTGGTGGTACGAATGAACAGCAGGATATCTCCGAACAATGTATGGTCACATCCCATAATTCAAGGAGTAGTCAAGCTGTCATTCTTCCATTTAAAAGCCTCTTCTAGCAAACTTGGGGTGAGGTCGAAAAACTTGGAGAAAAGTAGTTGAGACCAAGTTGTTCGCATAATCCTTGCATTACAGCATCACTGCCTGGTTCTGAGCTCTGATCATCGGAGAACTAAGCAGACCCGAACTCCATCGACTCGAGCTTCTACTGTGTACTGAAGCTCTCCAGCAACCTCGATCGAATGGTCCAAGGGAAGCAGACTCGACACAAGCATCGAGCGAAGCGTCCTATAGCCACCTAAAGTCCCCACACAAAACAAAGAGGGCATTTCCTCTGCTTCTGTTGTAAACATTTGATTATTAGTTTGTAATAAGCTTTCTTATCAATACAAACGAAACTCCCTGTTTTCGGGAAATCAAATTTACACCCTACAATAGGCCCTAAATTTTTCCCGCAATCTCATCACTGATGTATGAGAGTTTCCTTCAAAAAAGTCTTAATGGTCCAAGGCGCCTATCACATACTTAATCACTGCTCCTATGCTCATATGAGCTATCGTCAATTGGAGCTTAAGTGATATTTGGCCTGCTATGTTCTGGCCAGAGTTATTTTGTGATGGCGATTAGAAGCTAGTGTTGCTTTTCAAGAAAGACAATCACTCTTATGGTGTGTCTTCTTCTGGAGGGTTTCTAGAGGGGCTTAAGGTCATTCGACCATCTAGCAGATGGTGTGCTTGACAGACACTCACCAGATAAGTCGCTGAGGCCTTCGAGGACTATAACTATGTTGGTTTCTCTTAGCAAAATCTAACCCTCCTTAACTTGAATGATACAACTCCTGAATTCATTTAGCTTGGATGATGCAACTATGATGTTGTTCTTCAGGGTGGGTAGAATCAAACCCTTGTTCAGAACTTGACATGTCTTCTCAAAAAAGAAAAGGGGCCCTACGGTAGGCGCCAAACTATTGATGTTAAATATCACACAGCCAATTGAAGTCACATAGTTTATAAAAGAAAAGGGTCCACACTTTCTTCTTTGACTTTATGCCTGGTTCTGGAATTAGGATGGCTGAGCAATCTGCATACAAGAGAGTCGTAAGAGGACGGGGATGAGTTCCCCCGTGATACCTCCAACAATCAAGTCAGTTGATGAACCTGAGTGGGGTTAAAGAGGAACTGTGTGTGTGTGTGCTTTCAGGGGTTTTAGATTGCAAACCATTTTTAGATGGCCCTCCCCCTCCCCTGGCTATGGTGAACAACATCTGTATATAAAGAGGATGTCCATAGCAGATTGGTCACTTTAGCCATGAATATGACGGTGACAAAGTGTGAGCTGGAGGGCGAGTCATCATTTGCTATACAGGTATCGACCAACGACTGGAGGGGAAGTCACTTTGTCATGGGAGAGGATGTCTCCGCATTTTCTAGAAAGTGATTGATAGCGTGGCAGAAGGCACGTGGGCATACTGAATCATCCCTCGTTCTACAGGTGTCGACTGGCGACTAGAGGGGAAGTTACTTCGAAACGTGAGAGGATGTCTCCGCATTTTCCGAGAAGTGATTGATAAGTCATGGAGGCATGTGGGCAACTAACAAGTCACAGAGATCATTAGGCAAAAATCTGGATAAGGTTTGTCTGATATGGACTGAAATGTTGACATATGCTCTGGGGAGAGACTTGAGGCCTGAGCTGAGTCCTCATCTTAGTCGGTAGCAGGGAATATCCCTCAAGTCATCTCCGAGAATTTCCCAGTGAGTGGTCGAGTTCCCTAAGTGGGTTGTCCTTAGCTATAGGGTCGACCGATCCCGCATTTCGTGTCGGCATGAAAGAAGGTCGACTTGATGACTCGGCGGGGTCGATGCCTCTGTTGGGCTTGGCCCACTCAAGTGGGTTTGAGGTTATTTTGCTAGGACTCTTATTGTATCATTTTACAAAAGCCCGTATCTTGGGTGAGTGAACACCATAACACCCCCAAATGTCCCAATGAATAACCCCCTAAGATGATTTTAGAAGAGCAAAGTCCCACCAGTATATGAAATAGTTGACTCTAACCGCAACTTGGGATTTTTTGCCCCTTTTCACTTACAATTTCCACTTTGCTACGTATACACACCACTCACTTTCTTTCATTAGTAAAGGGAGAGCAAGAAAGAAATAGACCTTCACTACCTTCTATAGCTTAATCTTCAAGGCTCGGAGAAAATCATGTCAACTGATTGGGGACCGGTGATCACCGCGGTGGTCCTCTTCATCCTCCTATCGCCAGGGCTCCTGTTTCAGCTTCCGGCGAGGAACAACGTGGTGGAGTTTGGGAACATGAGCACAAGTAGTATCTCAATTCTAGTTCATGCCATCTTCTTCTTTGGTATACTCACCATCTTAATAGTTACAATTGGCGTTCACCTATATGCTGGAGGTGGAGGATAAGAGATGGAAGAGGGAGCTCTCTGGTTTAATTCTTAAGCTCGTGTTTTCTATCTTAAGGTTGTTTTATGAGGAATTCAGTTATCCTATAAGTTATGTCAAATTTTCTTGGAAAATATATAAATTGTTTGACTTTTAAAAGTTTTATTTGATAAGTGAGAAAGTTCATGCATGCATATATAACATTCGCTAGCTTTTAATAATTTTGGTTTTCGGAAAAAATATTTGATTATTTTGTGCTTAGCTAGTAATTAAGAAGCAACCTAAGATTTAGTGTTGTCTATTTCACTAAATATGAACCTTTTTTGGTTTTAACTTCTTGCTTCTGTACTTATCAACTTGTTGATTTAATAGTGTACTCAAAGCATTCCGGGAGGGACGTAAAATTTTCTTAATAATAGCCCTTAAAGTTTTAATATTTTGAAAGTAGTCCTGCAAATAACGTATAAAAATTGCATCTGCTAATTGGAATTGGAGGAATTGTGAAATAATTTTTTAAGAATTGGGGCCTAAAAATTTTTGTTTAATCTCACATGACCATTTTTGAACTTTGTTTGTTTTACTTAACCTCCTGAATTTTAGGGTGTCTCAAAAAAACTTCCTTGAACTTTGAACTTTCCTCATTGGACACCCTATGTATGGTAATTTATAAATATCTAAAATGTCTTAGAGAGTAAAAATATAAAATTATGTTTGTTGTCATTTACTGGCAACATACTTCCTCCTCCATTTTTTTTGAGAGAAAAACAAGGGGTATTCCCTGTTCATTAAAAACAAAAGTATGTTTACAAAAAAAAAAAAAAAAACGGATACGAACTGTATCCATAGAAATTAGTAGATAGAAAGAATAATTTCTCTTGCTAGGGATGTAGGACCTTCTTCTTACAAACATCTATAAAGATGAAGAGAGGGCCTTGTCATCATTCACCGTTGACATGGATGTATGCAAGAACCAAAGCCAGCCATACATTTAGTCAAGAGAAATTAAGTTTTCTATAGACTAATTGAAACTAACAACATAACACCAAAAATATGTTATGTACAGACGACATCGTAAACTACTGAAAATAAACCGATATTTATAAGGTAAACACTGTTGCTCTGCAAGATTGGTCTCTCTTCTAAAACCGTTGCTAGCTTAAGTGCCATCTTCCCTCTTCCAGAACCTGACCATTCATATAAAACAGAAATCGCTGAGTTACTAGCTTAAGTGCCATCTTCCCTCTTCCAGAACCTGACCATTCATATAAAACAGAAATCGCTGAGTTAATGATAGTTGAAGCAGAGAACAAAGTGTTTTCAAAGAGAAATTTATTTCTTGTAGTCCATAAGCTCCAGCATACTATAGTGAAAACCGATCTCCATAAAACTCCATCAGTATTACGAAGAAATTCAACAGACATGAGAAGTTCATATAAAGACGTTGGCCACATGAAAGGGAGATAGAAGTCACAGAAATGTTTCCACACTGTTCCGGTGAGACTGCATTCAAAGAATAAGTGATCACACAATTTAAGATGTATACCACATAATATGCACGTAGAGTCACCTTGCCATCCTTTCTTTGTAAGATTATTTTTTGTGTGTAGTCTGTTTTTAGATAAAAGCCATGTGAAGAACTGGAGTTTACTCGGCATAACTGGATTCCAAATAGTTTTATAAAAAAGCAGAAAAAATCCCTCTGGAGTTTAGGAAAACATAGTGAGATTTGATCGAGAAACTCCCGTTTGCTGTAAGGGACCATGTAGGTATGTCAACATTGTTGGTAACACTGTGTAATCCAATAAGATTCAAGAGAGCAAGTTTAGCAGTGGATGAAGAAGATGAGATGATTCTCTTCAGAAGTGGATGCCAATGCCATATATGATTATGGAGAAATCCCTGGGAACGAATGCTGACATTTGTAGACAAAGATAGATTGTATAAAGTTGGATATAAACTTGATAAAGTGTTACTACCGATCCATTTATCTTCCCAAAACCTTATTTTATCACCAGAGCCAAGAGTCCATTGCAGAAGATGGAAAAACAAATCTTTGATTGAGATGATATCGTTCCAAAACATGGAATTAGAAGAAGTGCAGGTAGCTAATTGCAGCTGAGAATATTTTCTGATATAAAGTTGATGTAGAAAAGTTCCAATTAAGGAATCTCTATCAAGGCATTTCCATAGCCATTTAGAAAGAAGTGCATTATTAAACAATTTGAGATCCTTCACACCCAAACCTCCCTCTAATTTACTTAAGCACACTGTCTTCCAATTGACTAAGCATTTGAAAGGCCTTGAAATATTTTTGCCAGTCCATAAGAAGTTTTTTTTTAATTTTATCCACTTCTCTAATCACCCATGTAGGTAATTTGTAGAAGGACATGTAATATAAAGGAATCGAAGAAAGAACTGAGTTTAGCAAAACAAGTCTACCACCAAATGATAGACATGAACTTTTCCAAGAAGGAAGTTTCCTATACAAATTATCCAACATAGGTTGTCAATCGGATTTAGCTAATTTTCCATACTTTAGAGGCAATCCTAAATATTTAATTGGAAGTTGATCAAGATTGCAGTTCAAGGATGTAGCAAGAGAGTGTCCTCTATTATGCATTTTACCAAAGTAGATAAGAGATGACTTAGAATAATTGATACCCAAACCTGAAATATCTTCAAAAATATATAAAATTTCCTTGAGAATGGATATGTCATTATTAGTGCTCCTGACAAAAAGTAGAGTATCATCTGCAAATTGAAGACACCTTATTTGGTTGAGAGGCTCCTTAATGCATAGATTGGATAGTAAACCCTCTTCCACATTGTGGATGATCATCTTGCACAAGACATCGACCACTATATTAAAAAGCAAAGGAGATAAGGGGTCTCCTTGTTTTAACCCTCTTTTGCATTTGAAAGACTTAGAAGGAGATCCATTGACAAGAATAGCACAGTTTGATGTAGAAATAATATTGAAAATCTATGAACACCATCTTTGACCAAAACCTCGTGCTTTAAGTAAATTAATAAGGAAATCCTAGTTGATAGAATCAAAAGCTTTAGCAAAATCGATCTTAACCATGACCACTTCTTTTTTCCTTTTAGAGCAAAAATGTGTCATCTCATTAGCTAAAACTTTTGTGAAGATTTTGAAGATGCAGTTGATAAGGCTGATTGGCCTATAATCTTTAACTGAGGAATTTCCTTTACTTTTAGGGATAAGAGTGATAATGACTCTATTCACCCTATGCAGAGAGGAAGGATTCTTGGTAAACCAGTTCATCTTCCTCCTCCATTTTTTATTTTTTTCCATCAAGAAATTTCTATTTTATTTTTAAATTCAAGGTAGAGGGGTTCGCCGATTTATTCAATGCGGGAATTCGACCTGGTGAGAAAAGTTCCGAGTTCAAGGGGGAATATTGTGAGACACCCCAAAGCTCAGGGAGTCTAAGTGAGTGAGATAAACAAATTTCAAAAGAATTAGGTGAAATAGCCTCCAAAATTTAAGGTTTAATTTTCTGAAATTTATCAAAAATGTCTTACGCCCCAATTCTTTTAAGTTATTTCCGAATTCCTCCCATCCTGATTACCAGTAGCAATTTTGTTAAGTTATTCCAAGTTAATTCTTCAATTCAAGAGTAGAATAAGCTTGATTCCTGAAAAAAAAGAGAGTAGAAATAGCAAGATATAAGAATTGGAAAGCAATATCGACATATAAGTTCTCTTGATATTTATGGGACACCTTTCCCGCCCTTTTGGATTCATCATCATCGACTTTGATATTTATGGGACCTGCCACTTGATGATGTATATTTGTGTCAGTGGTGTCTCATTAGGAGTTCCAACTAATAAACTAAACTTCAATTTACGTATTTGGTCGAACATTATGGAACCGCTAGTCCGAGGTTATTTCAATGTTACTGCTTGTGCATGTTTCATCTTTTGAAATTAGTAGCTTCATCGGATTATGGTTGTAATACCACGATAATTATCAAGTTTAATGATATGTTGGAGAGTCGGTCACATACGTATCATAATTAACCGGCCGAGTCTTACTAATCCAGAAGCCCCGCCCAAGTGAGAGCATCAATGACCCTCCTAGCAACCCAAATCGGATACGAAAATTGTCTTCAAGTTGAGATATGCCAAGAGGAGCCAGGTCCGACACAAAAGGTGTCTTCTACTTAGGCTCTTGCTAGAGAATGTCTCGAACAACAAGGCAACCTATCAGCTTTAGCAATGGTACTTCACTGCTCGCTCACCATCGCATTTCATGTTGAGCCAGATGTTTGCGGGAAAAATTGTAAGAAAATTGAGAAATCAATTAGTATTAATCTTTCTAATTGACTTAGGAAAAGAAAGAATACAATCTCTCAAAGTAACTTCTCTCTAACTGACTTAGAAAAAGAAATTATAATTTTCTTATCGGTTTCTAGATTAACAAGAGAGAGAAGAATCAACAAAGATCCTTCCCTTTGTTTAATACCGGGTTTTCTTGGTGGCGATGAGAGTTTGAGTCTTGCATCTCGTTGACAATCCGAGCACCTCGCTTTGTGGAACTTTGTCTTTACTTCTTGACTTAACGTCTTGGACGAACTTACAAAGTAAGTTTAGAACTCTGGCCGAGTTTAGAACTTTGCAGGAGAGTTAATTTTAGAAAGGAATTTCACTCATTTTTATCGAAATGAGCCGATGGATTTTTCTCTCCGATGCAATAGCCGATCTCCAAGATCTTAAACCAAAGATGGTATAAAAGCAAAGCCAAATGATCCAAAAAGCTCCAACCCAAGATGATCTAAAAGGTTCTGTATTCAGCTGAATTCTCAGTTATTTATAGAGATATAAGGGTGTAGCTGACCTCATAAATCTCACCATAATGGGAGCTTAATGGCCCTAATATGTGGAAAACGGTTTTGAACCGTTCAAATTGCAATTGAAACGGTCAAACGCGAGATTCATATTCTGGAGCGAGCCTCGCGTGTAGCTATGTGAAACACGGAGGTGATCCTCGTGTTTTGGAATTGGAACGCGGGGGGTGACCCTCGTGTTTTGGAGTTGGAACATAGAGGTCGACCCTCGCGTTTTAGAGTTA